ATTCAATCACTCAGTAACTTTTGGTAAAAGATACGAGGAAACTTCAAAGCAAATTTATCTATTTGTAGATTTTTGTATTACGTTACTATCTCATTAGCTGAAGTTTCTCTACATTCCTAGAAAAAAATTTATTAAAAAATATTAGTTTTCAGCAAAGTTGTGGTAGTTCAAATTTGTCCGGATCTGACAGACTCGGATTGTACTATATATCCCACAAAATATAACTGTATGCGGAGGGTTAATTTTAATATGTGTTTTTTGCCTCTCTGTTTCTCTCTCTCCCTCCCTTTCTCTCTCTTTTCTCTTTCTATCTATCTATTTCTCAGGAACATGTGTTAAACGTTCACATGTATGATAAGTTCCAGAAGTTCCTCGGAAGTTCGTGATTTCGTTACCGTTTAGAGTTCACGATCAGGGCATCAAAAATTTAATGGTCTTTAATGAATTAATACAGTTTGCTCCCAGGTTCACAGGCACGTCTGCGACTAACAATGGAACGCTAAGATTTCGCGTCGTATCGGCGCGCTTCCGGCACGATGAATGGCTGAACAATTATATTGTAATTCATGCGAAAAGGAACTATTCACGCCTATGCGGTAGTCGGTAGTTAATTGCGATTATTAACATGCATTTTTTTCCTGACGCAATATAATGGTGATAACGATCCGCAGATACAGCACGAACCACGTATTCAAACTATACTTTTTCAAAGTTGCTCTGCTCGTTCGTGCCAAAAAAAAACGCCCGTGGTACCGTGGTAGATTTCGCGGTGGCGACTCGACGGGCGGTGGTCTCGAGAGTGATTACGAAGACCACGCGGTATTGTCGTTTCTGGTAGATGCTGGCCGCGAGAACGCGCGATACGGCAGGGGGCACGCAGCAAGAAAATTACAAAGCGCGAGTGACGGGGCAACATCCGCAAAAAAGCCGTACTTACGCCGTAAGTATGTATCTCCTGGCTGAGAACAAGGAGAAGGATGTAGCGCCGTCCTCCCCCTATCCTTGTGCAACTCGTGGTAGAGCCGCGCGAGTTACGAGATACGGTGGCCGTTCAGCGCGACGTGCAAAAAAGAAGAAGCATAAAAAAACGAAGAAAAACAACGATTACGAGGACAAGTGCGCGGAGTGTGTGTCGTGCCCGCGAGAGACGCGTTGATTAATTAAAAGCAAATTCCAATCGTAAAGATCGTTATCCAACGGACGGAAACGACAGAGTCGAGTTTTGTGCTATGATGAAACTCGATTACATTCCCAAGCGCACAATCGCGTCGCGTTGTACACACAAAGTGTGTCAATAGTCACGCGTTTTCTCTCGGCTGTTGATCCCCTCTCTCTCTCTCTCTCTCTCTCATCCCCCGGAATGAACAATACTCATTTTTCCTTCGCGACCGTTCGAGACGGCCGATCTATTTTCGCGGAGCTGTCTAATGTCGGACGATCTGACATGTGTGTGTGTTTGTTTGATAGTGCATGTACGAATTCATAAGAGTGACTGTCTGCGCGAGGTGCAACAACGCGCGAGTTATCTTTTACGAGGACTTTATGAGGGAGCAGCTGAGTTTTTCGCACTGCGGGGCGACTACAAGCTACTTCTAGAAGCGAATATCGTGGCAGAAGACGACGAGGGAGGTGCCTATCGCGTCAATATCTAAGGGCACAGATAACTTAATAAACTGCGTCGAATGAATCATCGCCTGCGGTCGTCGCTACTTATCTAATCGCTCCACTTTACAGCAGTTTGCTACTGATTTGTCTTAATATGTGCGATTAATACACACACACACACACACACACACACACAAAATCGTTATTACATGTTGACGCACCTAGGCGAACACGTTTCTGGCGGACGCATTAATCTTTCTAATTAATTAATTAACGCGGTCTTTCAACCGATTTCCGAACGTCGACACGTGTTACAACGCATCGGCGAATAATTTCGGTGTCAATTAAGACGGCGGTAACGAGCTGCGCGCGCGCGCACGTCATGCAAAAGCCGGCTTTACCGGTATACGTCTAATGAGAGTAAAAAATCTCGCGGCTTGTCTATCGTCACGCGGCAATGTTTCATTATCTTGTCTGGGAGAGTTATCGGTCGTTAAGCGCGTGACTTCAATTCGGCGAATATTATACGAAAAGTTTCGTAGTGTGCGTTTCTCACGTTAAATTAAGGATAACATCTGAGCTACGGTTGGAGCGAATCTGTAATGTAATTTACGCGCTTCAAATAAAAATGCGCATTTAAATGTATGCTAACGATATAAATACTGTTTACTGTTACATACATTTAAATATATATGCATATATTATTGATTACGAGTAAAAGCTCGACTGCGATCGAGCTCGTCATTAACAACGTGTACCAACACGACGACCATCGACATATCGAATATCTCTCCTTTTTTTTGTGCATCATTTTCGCGCACCGCTCTGCAACGTCGGCGATCGTTCTCCAAGGCGGAAGACCGCGCGAGATCGAGACGCATACGTGAGAACAGCCGCGCGTCGTAGATGCTGCATCACGCACGATAGCACCTTGCACGATGATGCAACGAGCGGCAAACTCCGCCGCTCGAAAGGAGCCAGCATTATGCACTGAGATCGCGGCGATCTGTAATAAATAGTCGAGAGACTGGTATGGAAATAGCCGCGTGCAGTCCCTTACCCCGCGATATCTCGCGAATTAACGTTCCACGCGTGATAACGCCACACGAGCGTTAAATCCTGCTCGAATCGTACTGATAACGCGGCTTAAATCGACAACCGCTGATTTCTGTATCGCATTAAGCGGATAGCACACAAATAAAAACGTAAACAGTGGAACTTGAGCAAACCGACCGAGCATAATCGATGATTATTCTTACGGTTCAAAAATAATCGATTGTGATTGCTCAATCTTCTCACCGCTCAAGTCTTACTGCTTGGGTTTTTCTACGTGCCATCCGCTTCATTGCTTCGACGATAAGACTCTCCGCACAATGGAGCTCTTATTAGGAATAGAAAAATAAATAACCTGGAAAATTTAAGAAAATGAGGAGTTATTTTATTTAAATAAGAGGAACAGAATAGACTAACACGCACCGCAAAATAGAATCAGAAATCAGGAATAAAAATTACGTAATATTGGATACGAAAAATAATTCATTTTACAAGTATAAAATATATTCAATATTTAATATTTATTTCTATTCCTAACATTTTCTCTATTGCATGCAGGGCTTAAGATACGCGTAAGTGTGCACGACAGAAAGATAGTCTGCTATTTTTTCTGTGAATGTCTTGTCCAGACGTATGAGTCCCAGAATTCACAGAAAAGTTGGAAGAGCATTATCAAAGAGATCGAAAAATTCGTTTGGAATTAAAGTTATAAAATGTTAATGCTATTTTCCCCTGGATTATGTACAATTAAAAATCGTCGAGGCTAGATCGTCACTTGACACTTGTTCTAGACAAGAGACACATGCAAATAGACTTGATCTTTCGTACTTGACGGTAACTTATCAGTTATATACGATATAAGCAAGAGAAATACGTGTTATCCCGCCTTTGAAACAATTTTCAGATCCGACAGACCGATAAAGAACATATAATGCGATATCTAAAGCCACCGGATGTATTTTGTTGTAGCTTCACTTATAAAGCAATTATCGGCTTTCTCAGACATAAGATTATTGCATCCATCAGTAAATAAAGGTGTTTACTCTCGTGCAAGTTACACTTGCCGCGAGCTGAAATGCCTCCTCGAGATAGTATATGTAATATTTCAAGAAAAAACTCGAGTTCACAGCCGCTCGCGAATGATCGTTCGTAATGATCTCTCTTGTCGCAACTGTATATTTTTGCGAATGGCACATGTGCCCCGGGGGTGTTCGTACAGGCTGCTCCGATGTGTGCTTGCATCACCTGTTCGAATGCCCGTCGTATTGACTTTTTCCCGATCTCGCTCGCGTTATTGGCGGTGCCGAGCAAAGGAACGGCACAACGACGCTGGACAAAATTTGCGACTTCGTTCCCAGCATGTGATCCGACGTGACTTGTGACGTTAACGCGATAGAGTTGCGCCTTGACGACCGCGGAAACGGGCATTCGCGAGGGCTTGAAAAGTGCGAGTTCGTGCTGATCGCGAGTATAAATAGTACCGCGATCTTCTCGCATGCTGTGCTTTTTACGGCTCTTAAATACCGGCTTAAATGCCTCGAGTGAAAGATACCGCGGTAGCAACAGACTTCTTACTGGGCTGCCTCGATAATGCCGCGAGTTGTCTTAACACAAACGTTGTAATGCGAAAAATGCGTCATATTCTCCCATACTGACGTCACCGATTATTAAAGATGACCGATCGTAGATTCACGGAGCGATACTACGTGTGAAATCTATTGTATATCTATACACAGAAATATATTTATGCTTATATATCCATACATTTCTGCCGCAGCCAATCATAGTTGGCTGAAAATGTATTTGTCGCTGTAATTAAACATTTGTTGCTGTAACCAAAATTTTCGCTACTGTTGCTACCACATTGGTTTCATAGTTTAATGTATGCCCGCTGACAACTGTACTTTTAGGTACAGCCCATATATTACAATAAGATTCAGCTACTACAGACAAATTTTTGCTGCTGCAGCGAACTGTTTTCTTTCATGTATTTTGCAATTGATCGAGTTAATCGTAATGGACAGGCATGAGTAACGAATTTTCGGGAATAGAAACAACATTATTGCAATCCGCGGTCTCATCTTGAACAAGCTACCAGAAAATTTGGACTTTATTTTGCTAATGCAAAGTACGACAACAAAATAGAACGCTCTCTATTCTACTCGCCCATTTTGACTGACTCGTTCGTATTTAAATGAGCGGCGAACCCAAAAGCAGCCGGTAATTTGATTATCGCCTGATGGTTTTCGTTTCCACTGATCCTCTTTACGAGAAGAAGGAGGAGGAGAATTCAGAAACCACCGTGGCAGAACAAAAACGGGAAATGAGACAGTGGATCTTACCTGTATGAGGTGGGCAAGGAACAGGACGTAGGCGGCGGCCGTCCTCATGTCTCTCCCTGGGGAATTCCCTCGACTACCGCATATCACCGATCCCCGTGGCCGCTGCTGCTCCTCGGCCTCTTCCTCGAGCACTCTCCGAGCCGCGTATCCGTTGCTCTCACCACTCTCTCACCGAATTACTACCGAATGATCGATCGACGAATATTTCCCGATTATCGGCGCACTGCACTTCGCTGATCTTTCCGGTCCGCGCACCAACACCGAATATACCGCTCCACTGGTCGCCGGTTCCACGATTCCCCTCGCCCTTCCTTCGTCGTACACTCAACACTCGTCAACACTCGGGGGAGGTATTGCGCGAGCACGCGCCCGCGCGCGCGTCACCGTTGCTGCTGTCCGCGGTTTCTCGCACGGGTCATTCGGCGAGATCGAGTCCGACGCGGGCCAGATGCGAGAGAGCGAGCGGAGAGGACGAGCTCGTTTCTTGAGAGCGAGTGCGACGCTCGTGGAGGACGCGGAACGAGAGGCAGGTGAAGCTCGTGTACGCGTCGCGGACCTTTCCCTCGATCACCGCTGCGAGCGGCTGCTGCGACACGCTGCGGGAAAATCGTCCCCGCTGCGTTTTCTTCGCCTTCCTTTCTGTTTATCGCCGCCCGCGCACACACTTCGCTCGGTTCACTCGTTCGCCATCTTCTATACTCGATACCGGTATGGCGTCCGCGCGCGCGCGCACGCGCGCTTGAGATCAATCGAAGCTAAGCGATTAGGCGCGATTCGCGGATAAGTTCACGCCGCGAGATCCGCGCGCCGCCGCCGCCGGCGCCGAATTCGTCGGAGAGAGAAAGCGCGCACGCGCGAGAAAGCCCGCTCCCGCGGCTCGGCACCTGCTTTCCTTCTCGGCGCGCGATGTCCAGCACACGTGTTCCACTGGCCGATGATGATCTCCGTTAGTCCGGATAGAGGTCGGCTCGTTGTGTTTCACTATTCTTTCCCGTCGGGTACAGAGCTTATCACTCGAGCTGACACGTTGCGGAAACGAAGGGGACGAACATGGCGGCAATTCGAAACTCGGCCTCTGTCAGGTAACACAGATAAGCGAACTCGTTAATTAGCCAATTGTCCACTCACATCGACTGTTTGCTCATACGAAGGAACGAACACACGTCGCGAAGACCGAAAACCGACTCGTTCGTAACTGCGACGCTCCTGGAGTGTCCTTTCTGAGACAGGCGACTCTTTTTCCCTGTCGCAACCCTCGTGAAGGAAAAGATCCCTCGGCACCGCTTCTGCGGTAACCAAGAGAGACAAAATGACACTGTTCACGCACACGCGGCTTCGCGATCCTCTCGGATGACGACGCGTGCTTGCGCAGGAATGCACGAGGAAGGAACAGGTGTGTGCACGTGTCCGGCGTTGTGCGCGTATCGCGACGTGCAACACTCTTCCGTCGTGGTGTATGTGGTGCACGCACGCTGTTCCCGGATTAGCCGGTCTGTATATACACGTATCTGTACGTATGTGTGTGTCGCGTATGTGTACACATGTATATATATATATATATATATATACGTGTGCGCGCGCGTCCGTGTGTACTACCGTCTCACTATCGTGCGCGCACGCTGGAGTGCGAAAACGCAGCAACCTCCACGGGGTACACGACTCGGTCGCTCCGGGGATACTGAGTCGGAGCCGCGGGCCGGCCTGCGGGCCTCCCCCCGTCCACCGCAGCCTGTCCCCCCGCTCTTCGTCGGCCCCCTCATTCGTCCTGACCCCTTCTCCAGTCATTCCACCTCCGGGAGCACGGAGGACCCCCTTACGTTCACCCCGCGCGCTTCGCTTCGAGTCTCGCATCCTTACGGGGTCCTCTCTCTCTCGCGCTCTCTCTTTCTCTCTCTCTCTCTCTCTCTCTCTCTCTCGCTCCTCCCGCATCGCATTGCCACTTTGCACACGTTCACAGGCGCCTCTCTCTCTTTCTCTCTCCCCCCCCCTCTCTCTCTTTCTTTCTCTCTTCTTCATTCTACAGTTTCTCTTACCCTCTCGTACGTCCACCTCGCGTGTGCGCGCGTGTTAGCGCAGCGCGGAGCGCACGTGCGTGTGCATCGGGCTTCGCGATCACGCTCTGCGGCTGTGTGCGTGTCGCGCACATCTCGAGGGGCTCTCTTTGCTCTCTTCTGCCTCTCTATGAGGCATTACACGACGTACACTTGTGCCCCTCGTGGATGCTGGGGCCTGGCCGAACACGAGCGAGCGAACGCGCTTACTTATATACGTCTTACAATCGGTTTCATCACGAACGAGTCGGTAACGCCGCGGTTGTGTATTCTCACCTCTCTCGAACGCGATCGGGGCGAGAACGCGCGCACGGCTAGGCGTGCTCCGTGACCGCCGCTCAAGATATGAATTTCGCGGGGCCGCTCCTCGAGGAGTTGCGGTCGCGAGGGTATCGTCGAGCCGCGGATTGCACCGCCGGCTGGGCTGCGATACGAATTTCGTTGATTGACCGCGGCCAAGACGGTCGTCGCGGATCAATGAACGTCGGCTTTGATTCGATTGCGCGAATTCTATTCGGCAATGCGCTGTCTGATCATTAATTTTGTAATTCCTTTCTTCTATCTTGGCAGCACTGAGAGCATGGCGAAATACGCGGTTAATTTGTCACTTACACAAATGATATTATATGTTATCAATGAATTAATTAATAGCGATATACTGGATGTACCGATAATAACAGAATAATGAGAATCACAATAATCGATTTGTACTTAAGGGAACATTAGATATACCGACATAATACAGTTTCGTAATTTGCACTGTTTTTCTATTTGGTTGCATACAATTCCGAACATTTCTACAGAATGGAAATGTCGATGCATAGAAAGGCATCAAAGTTTGCATAGAAAACAAAGATCATTTTGTAAATAAAATTTCTTTTGTTTTTTATACAATATTTAATGCTTCTCTCTTTTCATGCAGTGACATTTGTAATTGCATTCTGTCAAAGCATTTGCGATTCTATGCGACCAAATAGAAAAACAACGCAAACTACGAAACTGCATTACGTCCGTCTCCAGAATCCTCTTAAATAATCATCAATGAAAAAAAATAAAGAATATATGCGAATCGAGATAAAATTTAAAATCAGACGAGAACCGTTAATGAAAATTAACTTCTCAACGTTCAAATGTGCGCTGGGAAAGTCGCGCATGGGGATCATGAAATCGCGTGATGGAAAGGGTTGATGCCTGGTCTCTCGTTGCGTTTACGTTTCGTGCTCCAATTCGAACAACGGGAGGCGAATGGCGAAGGAGTCGCCGATGATTGGACGCGTTAAATTCAGGGATTTACAAAGTGTCCGATAGACCGCTTTTCGCAAATTAGCCGTCCGCTCGCACGGAGACAAAAAAGCGCTTAAATGTCGCTAATAATCGGCGCATCGGACTCGACGTGCATGTATCAGGCAACGAGGAGTTCCCGGTAGGCTCTCTCCCGGCTGTAGCAGGACGAAATTATATATATTCACGTAGAATGATTTCGGACGATGAATAATGGATAAGTCCTGTCGCGTGTCCACCGTCATTATGTGGCTAGCGGGCTATGTTTGCTCGCGAGAAGGAGAGTGAGAGAGCGAGAGAGAGCGAGAGAGCGAGAGAGAGGGAAGAAGAGAAATGCCATCGCCGCGTCGTGGATCGTCATTGAATTTCTGCCCCATATACATACATATGTACCGTTCCACGTAATTCGCGTGTCGAAGTATCGTGCGAACTGAGAAGCCGAGCGGTTAAGCGGCTATAAATTATCGGCGCAATGAGAAACCTTCTTTGCTGATCTCCTTTCAGGAACTATATAATAACGACGTCGCGCTTACGTGTCGCGGCGTCTGACAATTGGGGAAATTATCGTCGCGCGGATTAATGTTTCTTTCAGACGTAATCCTCCTCCCGGAGGAGGGCATCGCGGTGCTTTGAGCGAAAGATCATCATGTCATGACATTCGCGCGTACCTCTTTCGAGGTGCAAGCATTCCCGTCATCGAGAACGCTTGTCGTCGCAACGAAACGAAATAACGATTTTATATATGTTGCTCCTGCGTTGCCGAGTCACTTCACGACCTAGCCGAGGTATGAGAAGTTCTTTTTATTGTTAAAGTAAAAATTCGGTCCGGCCGTTATTGACTCACCGGAGGCTCTCTGCGAAACAGGTGAACGTCGCTATACGCGTCAATTTCGCGTTGCGATAAGAAGACGCGGGATTTAATAGGAGTATTCGCGAAGCAGGGGACGACGGCGCGCCGTGGTACGAGCCCTAATCTTCGAAATGAAATTTCACGACGCTATCGCGTCAGCCTCGATTCGCAGAGTCATTACAACGGCGAGGCTCACCTCGGCTGAAAGAGCCTGTAACGGATGGTATAGCGCAAACACGACGCGGCTATATCTATCTTCTCTTTCTCTTCAGCGGCAGTCTTGGATCTGACGACGACGACGGCGAACCCAGTGTGGTAGCGTGGCAGTACGGTGTACCATGGTCCACACGGGCGGATGGACGGACATCGGTAGTGGGATGCTGCGCGGTGATGCTGCCTGGTCCACGATCTTCGTCTTTCTCTCTTTCTCCCTCCCTCTCATTCGTTGCAGTCTCCCGCGTTTCCGTCTATCCTCCTTTATCTGCCGTCCTCTCATTCCGTTCCGTGCTGTCCTTCGTTCTCTCCTTACTACTAGCCACGTCGCAGTCGCTCTCGCTCCTTCGTGCTCGCCCGTGAACGCTCGTGCTCATTCTCTCTCTTTCTCTCTTCTCGTCGTCTCGGAGGACTCGCTCACTCGAGGGCTCCGAGTTAGCCGACGGGCATTATGGTGGCTACTCCGCTGGCTTCTCGCGTCTCTCGAAAGCTCACAAGAGAGTGTGCCCCCCGAGGGTCAAGGAACTCCCTCGGGAACAGGTTCACCTCCTTCTCTGCCTCTCTTCACCTCTCTTCTTCCACCTACCCGTTCTCTCTTTCTCTCTCTTTCTCTCTCTCCTCACCCCCTCTCATCTCGCCGCTGCGCAACCCGCCCTATGCCCCCTCCGGTGTTCGTACCTTAGGGTTTTACTTATTTTCTCTTATTACCGCCGGTGGGCATGTAGGCACGTTTCACTCACACATCCGCGAGTCCAACTTGTACGTATACGGGATACGGTCCACCTCGAGGTCCAGCGGATTGTCCCCCCTTGGCCCCCCCTCTACCCGTTTCCTATGCTCTTCTCTCCCACCGCACTGCCCCCCTCGGTGCTCCGCAGGTACTCCAATATGTGAGCACATTATTACAGAGGCGCAAGGGAGGGAGCGGGAGGGACGAGACTCGGAGAGTCTCGCGAGGGAGCAAAGACGAGGTGAAACGCACACGCGTTCCCCCGGTGGATGAGGAAAACGCGCGAGCGAGCGAGCGAGCGAGCGTACACGCAAGGGTGTTTAGGTGCGGTTCCCTCCCCTCGCGCGCTGCCTCCGACCTCCCTTTCCTCGCTTCCCATACCCCCGACTGTTCCGTCGAGCTCTCTGAGAGAGCCAGATACCAGATTCCACCTGTGCTGCCTGATATGCTGCCGTTGCTGCCGTGCTCATCCTCCACGTCTTCCATGTCTTCTCCGTGTCGTGAGATCGTTTCGAATTTGCTGGATAGCTCGTCGCCCTTTTTTTTGCTTCCTCCTTCGTTCTTTCTCTTATTCTCCTTCTCTTTTTCCCTTCCTCAATACGTCTCGGGCGCGTTTCGCGACTGACCTCGGCGGGATTATGGCGGCGCGCGAAGACGAGAAAATGTGTGGATTTTTGGTGGTGCGCGTGAATCGATGGTGGAAGAAATGCGAGGGCTAGTAATTGGGCGTTTAGTTCCCGATCCTCGCACTTGGCTTTATTCTCGCGATTCTCGCGCGTCTCTTCGCCTCTCGACACGAGACACGCATCGGCCGTCCCGTTCGTTCCTCGAGAAACTGCCTACCGGTATTCTCCCTACGCGGCTTCCTCATCTGGTTTCTCCTCGCAAGATTGTTCCGAATTAGCTGGATACCGCACACATTTTTCTTTTTTAACAGCTCGGCCCGCCGAATGACATGGGACGGCGGATTATATGGGCCGGTTCGGCGGCCGTGAATATTTCGACGCAGAGGCAAAAATCAAAGAATCGTAAAGAATCGCCTTAGCCCGGCCGCTTTCCTTTTTATCAGATTTCGCGTGGAATTCCTGCGGGATATTTCAGTTTATCGGGACCGTTTGTTAAATAAATGAGCGCTGCGCGTGTTATTGTTTATGCTATACACGTGTACACGTACACGGACAGCGCGCGCGCGCGCACACATACACGGGATACTTCAAAGAGGAGGATAACTCTGGCGGCGAATCCCGCATAGTTTTCGCGCGTCGCGTCGCCGACAGGATTCTAGGGATATTATTCTCCTTACCTTCTATTTTCATTATTCATGAATTTACGTTAGCTTTTCGAAGGGAACCTTTGCGAAAGTGCGGTGTAATGGATACGCGACGGGGCGCAAACCGCGCGAGAGCGTATACACGTAGAAGGATTTTAATGATCTTTCTTCAGGCATTCGTCGGATGACTATAGATACCAGATTCCACCTGGACCGCAGCCGCCGCTTCGAACTCGGCTGTATCCGCGGTGTGTCTCGAGGACACGAGA